ACAGTTTTATTGTAGCAGTCTATGGAAGCCGTGAAATAAAAGAATAAAAAAGGTAATTTTGAGTTTATATTTCAAAATTCTGACTTTTTTCTCACAATTCCGAGATTATATCTCACGGTTCTGATAAGAAAAATCAACTCGTCATACTCTCTTTTCCCCTCGGCTCAGTTTATATCCCATACTTCTGGCTTTTTTTTCCTCAGAATTGACGAACTCGCAATTGTTGAGTTAAATCGAGTTATAAAGTCCAAACTAGGAGATATAAACTTGCATTTGTGAGAAAAATAATCAGAATTGTGAGATAAAATAGGTAAATGTTATATAGGTTTAAATAGTATTTAATGCTGTAACTGTAGGGCTAATACAATACTGCATATGTGAATATTATGTAAACATATTGTTTAAATCAAATTTATGCTTTAAAAGTAGGATAATGAGCAGGTTTCATCCATAGTCTGTCCACATCTGCGTTGAGTTTAAAATGGCGTCTTTGACGACAGTATTCTATAAAAATGATTTGCATTCTGATTTTGAGGCACAATAGTAAATTTTTAATCCTATTCCATGGATTCTACTCATTTCCCTCCACTTGTTATCAGTGTTTTTCTGCCACCACAATGCGTGCGCAGCTGCAAGTGACGTAACTGTAACTTCTACTCCAAATCGGTCTATATGAATGTTGCTCTGAGACACACAACAGTTCTACTCCGGCTTTATGTGGAACAATTTTCGTTGGCGAAACAGAAAAAAAAAGAGAATATTGTGTCTAAAATTACAAATTCACAATTCACAATCATTCTCACATGCTGATATTCGGGAAACCGGCATTCTTGCTTGTTGTGCTATCACTAAATTATATGATATCTTATAAATATGAAAAACAGAAACCTATACAGGGACATTTTTGCCCTCATAACTTGGATTATATGAGCATTCTAACTACATTCTAATAGACTTCATCACTCAGTGAATGCTTTTTGACTCTCAAGACGTGTTTTTGTTCAAGTTATTGAGTGACTAAATAATACTACACTAAATAATGTCAGTTTGCACATCATTAAAGCAACAATGACGTAGATGCTATCATATTGCACACCCCTAGTGACACGGCTCTTTCTGCGCCCTCAAAATTAATCTTATGCATTCCTATCTGTCAGATGTTCCATCTGAGCTTTTTCTATGTAGGTGCCTTTACGGTCAGAGGTTTGTTATTAAACGGTTCAATGGTGAGCGCAAGACAATCGGAAACCAAATCTGTTTCTCTTTTTACTGCATTGTCAGTGTCAGTGTACTGTGCAGGTTTTAATTACACACATGCTGCATGAATTCAGCAAGATTGAAATCATTTCCACAGGTTAAGCGTCCACGTTCTACTCCCTCACGCGCCCCCTGATCTCTCCACTGCTCGGGGACACATTGTTTTGTTGTCAAAAAATGCACGTGGTGCTGTGTTGATGAAGGGTGATGGAAAAAGAGTAATTTGACTGTCGGTAACCGGATCTGTGTCAGACGCTACAGCATGCCGTAAACACTGGAGCTCAGGAAGACCAGACACTGTGGTATGGAGTGTGTGTTGACAGGGGGAACCCTGACTGGACCAAAGCTGGTGCTGACAAAGATGGAGCCAACACATACACATACACATACACACAATACATAACATTTTTAACAGACCCCAGCACATGACTAGATGACATTCGCTCATGTGTGTCACTCACTCCCTGTTTTTTTTTCTCGTAAATTCTCTTTTCTCGTAAAGCAGTCTCATGATCTCTGAGAATTAGATTTTTTAAGACTCGTCAATCCAAGACCAAGACGATTTATGAGCAAGTATTCAATGTCTTATATGCAGAACCTATTTGAATGATTGATTTGTTTTTGACACTAAAATAAATAATAATAAATTGCAAAGAGAAAAAACACACTTTTATTATGATCGTTGTTGTTATTATTATTAATAATAAAAACTAAATATTTTTGTTGCTTTTTTCACTATTATTATTTTCGTAAAACTATTAATAATAATAATGATAATAGCTGCAAGTTTTACATGGGCAGGTAGCTCTTAGAAAATGTGACAGTATTTCCTTTATTATTATTATTATTGCATATTGTTTTGTTGTTGTCATTATAATAATAATAATAATAGCTGCAAATTTTACATGGGCAGGTAGCTCTCAGAAAATGTGACAGTATTGTTTCCTTTTGCACTTTAAGAAAAAATACTACTTGTTTATTAGCTTAAGTTGTTTTAGAATGATTTTAATAATAATAACAATAATAATAACGATTATTATTAATATTATATTATTTTGTTAATAATAATAAATAATAGTAATAGTACAGGGTCATTTTTTTCTGTTTGTAGTCTAATTCTTATTTTTTATAATGTCAAAAAAAGAAAAGAAAATCAAATATTTTTTCAATCTGAATTGCAAATAGGTTTAATCTTTGTTTTGGGTTGTGTCTAGCTGTTAAGCTTATAATGTTACTCAAGAATGAATAGCTGTTACATAAACAGATGAGTAATTTATGTAAACAGTACATTATGTTAGTTACTTTTAACACTGTTGTGAATATACAGTGGAGTAATGGTGTTGTATTACTATAGTTCAGCTGGTAGCACGTGGTGCACATCAGTAAAAGCATCTTTCAGATGCATAAATGCACTTATACATTTAAACATAGTCATACAAATGTTCAAGATGACACTCTGTGCAGTAGCACTTGATTATGCCATCCCATTATTGCTCCCTCATGATTTGACTGGTCTTGGCCAAAGTTTTCAGATGAAGAGAAATAACATTGACTTGTGTGTTTTTTTTTTCAGAACTATAAATTATCTCCTTCTGCCTGTTTTGTTGGCCCAGTTTGAGTCAGATTGGGTCAGCTGACAGTGTTCAGTTCAACTTCTGCACCTCACTTTTTTTTTATCTAAATGATTTAGTTGTTGCTATGGCAACCATCACTATTTCTAGTGATCTATACTTACGTTGAAGAATGGATCTCAGCTATATCAGGTGATGCTCTTTTACCTTGGACTTAGGGCTGGACAATAATTCAATATCAATATGTATCGCGATATAATTTTTTTCAATAACGGTGATATCATTTTTAAACACATTTCCGATATTCCAATTACCAGTGTTTCCCACACATTGATTTATTTGTGCCGTTTGACTTCGTTGAATAAACATGAGCACTGCACGTTTCAAAATCATAACACGGCAGGGGTGTTTTATATGAATGTATTTCTGAAGGGAATTGACTGTCTTCAGAAAAGATTCGATGGCATTTTCATTTGATCTGATAAAGAAGCGTTCATGAGCGGAGCTGCTTTGATTACAGCCATTACTGGAGAAACCGCTAGTTCTATCACTCTAAAAGCGCCTCCTGCTAGCAGAGCATGAGTTTTCATTTTAAATAAGCCCGTCTCCAGCAACATTTCCAGTTTTTGTTGTTGTTCAATTTTTTTGTTTTCTGCAGCGACTCGGAGCACTTTTCATACCCTTTTTTCTGACTGAAGCACATTTGTTTCAATCTATAAGAATAATCAGCCTACACTACCAGTCAAAAGTTTTTGAACAGTAAGATTTTTAAAGGTTTTTTTTTTTTTTAAGAATTCTCTTCTGCTCACCAAGGCTGCATTTATTTGATCCAAAGCACAGCAAAAACAGTAAAATGTTGAAATATTTTTACTATTTAAAATTGCTTTCTATTTGAATAGATTTTAAAATGTAATTTATTCCTGTGATCATACATATAGGTCAATTTTCAGCATCATTACTCCAGTCTTCAGTGTCACATGATCCTTCAGAAATCATTCTAATATGCTGATTTGCTGATTATCAATATTTAAAACAGTTGAGTACATTTTTTTTTCAGGATTCTTTGATGAATAGAAAGATCCAAAGATCAGCATTTATCTGAAATAAAAAGCTTTTGTAACATTATACACTATTCCATTCAGTATAATTTTTATTATTTTTTTGAGAAAGAAATTATAGAAATTAATACTTTTATTTAGCAAGGATGCTTAAAATTGATCAAAAGTGATGATAAAGGCATTTATAATGTTACAAAAGATTTCTATTTCAGATAAATAGTGTTCATATCGATATCGGAATTATATCGTATCGACCGAAATTAAGAAATATATCGTGATATAAATTTGGACCATATCGTCCAGCCCTAATAGAATGGTGAATTAATTACGAGGTGGCCAGAGGGACAGTTGCTCTCGCCGGACGCCAGATAATGCACCATTCATGCCAGGTCCGTGTTAATGAGTATGGGGGTCAGAAGAGGAAGGAAGACCATGAATATGACATTGTCTCTAAACTGTGTCCCATATTAACAGTGAAGCATTATGACAACATGGGATGACATCATACTTCATCCATCATCACACTGGGTGTGGTAAGTGCATAAACTGTATGGAGGATTTTATCTAGAACAATTTATTATAAAACAAATTAAAAAAAATTTGTAAAATGTGAAATTTTATTACAATTTATTAGGGATGCACCGATACCACTTTTTCCAGTACTCGCCCGATACCGATACTTTTATTTTTGGTACTTGCCGATACCGATGCCGATACCGATATTTTTATTGCATTTGTACATTTTTTAAATATTGGGTACAGAAACCAAAAGGGTATGTATAATGTTAGTTGGTTAACTTCATTTATCAAATAGATACAGTCAAACCAAAATTTATTCAGACACCTTCAACATTTCTCACATTACATTCGCTATAGTTTAGAAAATGGTAATAAAACATGACAAGAACTCAGAGTTAAACGGTGTCAGAACAAATTCATCTTGATAACGCTAGATAATTCTGATAGAAAGGTATGTAATAGATTACAATCAACCAAAATAATTCAGACAGCTGTTAGTATGACAGTATTTACACAACTATGAATACTTAGTCGGCAACCCTTAGCCT